GGTATCGAAACAACTTGTTGAATCCTTCTCTTGAGTGTTTTCTTCTTTTTGCCCCCCTTTTCCAAATTCCATCATCTTTTCTGTGAGAACTGTCCAAAGACTCAAAGTTCATGAGAACAAAATTGCTGGAATATAATGGCTAAGTTTTACCAAAAAGGGATGCAAGTCAAACCAAGCAGAGAAGGGAGGAGGGGGGACGGGGGAGGGGGGAAGAGAGCAAGGGAAGGGGACCAGGGATACTGCGAAGAAAGAATTGTGATTTATGTACAAGTCTCACCCCTTCAAAAGCACAAAAGAGGACGGATCTGGGGATCGTCTCGCCGCCAAGGTTCTCCTTTGCGAGAAGAGTCAAGGACGGCAGCGAATACACGCGAAGACTGATGTCGGTCCACATGCCAACTGCAGCAAGGGCGGACCTGCCCGCATCCTCGGGTATAGGGTTGATGTCCAGGCAGGAAATCTCGTACTCGAGTTTCAGGTGATTGACCTGTCGCAACTCGCCCTCCCCTATCTCCAAGTACACAAGATTACCCCCGCCAGTCGCAAGAAGCACCTGGGAAACAGATGAGAAACATCAGAGCAAAATAAAAAAGAGATCACAATTCAATGATTTCGATCACAAACAAACGGAAGATTGTGCACCAATGCAACCCTACCCAGCAACCCGGCCCCCTCTCGCGCCACCCAGCCCCCCCCCCCCCCCCCCCTTAGGAGAGAAAGCCCTCTACCCACCCCATGTGGTTAAACGGTGTAACTGTCAGAAAAGTTGAGAAAACCGATTACAATTCAAATGAATGAGCCGAATACCTTAGCATTAGAGGTCATCCGTTTGCCCAAAAAAAAAAAGAAAAAAAAAGTGCCACTCTGTAGCACAGATCCCAGAAGTTCGACGCGAAGAAGACAGGCTTTGACAAGAATGATGGTGGACGCATCCAGGGACGGGACGTACATGATGTGAATTCTTTCTACAGGACATCCCGCTCATGCGCTCATGCAGGTCATTTGCCGAACTACATATCCCAGTGCAAAATGGCATACCCTGTGGTGTGTTCATGCATATCTTGTGGTGTGCTTCCTTTACCCTTTGCCTTTTAGCGTTTGCCCTTTGGCCTTTGTCCTTTACCCTTTAACAAGAACTGCCTATTTCTGAGGTGGAAACGACTGGCAAGGCTCAGGAACAACGGGTGGCAGTCGGACCGCGAGGGCACAATTTTTCCATCTGATCCTGACTTAAACCGGCAGTACACGGCCCCAGCCTTGTGGAGATACTGTTTCATCGCCTAGTCCAAAAATTTCGCGGATCAGTCCTCCCAGACCGCAATGGCTGATGGCGCCAGGCAAAAAAGACAAAAAAGTCCGCGTCTGGCAGTAGGGCAAAGCTTGGCGTGTACTGCAGTGCCTCCAGGCCCTGGTGCCCTGGTGGTTCACGGCAGCAGAAGTTTCGGCATTCCCCCTTCTCAGCAGGAGTCTGATCCTGTACTTCTGTAAGCTCTTGCTACCCACGACGAATGTTACTGCAAGCGTTCAAAATGCGTTCATAACCTACCTGCGTCGCCCCGCCCGGGTCACCTTGGTTGCCCACACATCCCAGCCAGGCAACCGCAAAGGAAGCTTCCTGTCAAAACAAAATACAAAACCTAAAAACCTAGTTCAGGTTCACTTCAAAATTCTTCGCCTTTTTTTTTTTAATTCACCTTTTCCCTTTTTCTTTATTCTTTTTTGGCCTGGCCAGGCAAGTGCTCCCGGGCCGCTCCGGTAACCTAGCTTCTAACCTCGTACGCGAAAATGCTGCTTCCAGTTGGCATTAAAAAACCTTCAGAACTCCAATCCATATTCTATTATTCAGTTGGCATTAAAAAACCTTCAGAACTCCAATCCATATTCTATTATTCATTGACATGCTTTTGTTTTGCCATCTACAAAGGCTCGGAGTTCGAACCCATCCTCCTTAGCCAGAGCTGACCAAGTTGGTCAACTCTCCAAGGAATCCAGTCAGTGAACTTGGTCAACTTTTTCGGCGAGTTGACCAAGTTGACTGAGATCCTTTCTACAACAGAGACTGGCTTTCTTTCTCAAGAGACTGAGGATGGTGCCAGTTCAGACGCGGGATTGGAAGCGATGATGCAAGTATTCCCAGACATATGCTCTAAGCCTCTAACGAACTGAGCTACCTTTTTCTTTTTTCTTTTTTTTTTTATAGTACCAACTGAGCTACCTAAACAGAAACAAAATCAAACTCCGAGACTGAAGTGGTACCTAGAAGAATAGGCCAACTGACAATTGATCCTAATCACTTACTGGAGCAGTCATGTTGGAAGTGCAGAGAGGGGTTTTCAGCCTATTAGATGGGAAGCAATGAATCGCGGAGTGGGGATTATGTCGTAATCGTCTTTCAACTTGTATAGGCGTAGGAGTGGTGGTAGGCAGG